CGTTTTTCTTGCTACGTCTACGAAAAAGGATTATTACTTAGCCCCAGCCCCTGAATCGTCCCTATGGTGTACTTCAATTATCTCCAAGAATTTTCCTGACATTTGAAGCCAAGGAGAGGATAGAAGAAGAAGTGTCAACTAGAGCGCCTTGTCTCGTGACTACTCAACGATGAACTTTAAAAGGGAGAGAAATGTTTGAAGCTGACAGGCCCTTACCATTTGTCACTGGAAGCCTAGTCTAGGTCGGAGCCATTAGTGGTAACATCGAGATATGTACGCTGGACCATTACTGGTGTTTTCAGCTAATTTTTTTTAGTTCTTTCCTCACCTTTAGAAGTTGTTTTCATTCTTTTATTCTAACGATTACAGGAACCTGTTGCTCTTACAATTTTTTGAGAGTTTTATGTTCCATGAAAGAGGGACTCAGTAAAAATGATGTTCGTAGGAATTTCTAAATATACAAGTATTAAGGAAATGCATATAGAAATTTCACTAATACCTAGGTCTATATTAATCAAGAAAAAATATGCAATCTTAAATACCTTCCTTTAATTTATGTGTTTAAACTTCTCTTTTAACCTCTGGAGGATTAAACCTAAAAATAATATGTAATGTCATTTGATCGGAATATAATTAATAAATATGCATCAATTTAAATGATTACTGTGTGATTTGTGTTAATTGAAGGGTAAGCGATGTTGGTTATAAAATTTTTGTTTCTACTATGAATTAGGATTTTCGTATGACAATTAAAGGGAACCTGATATTAACAAAGCCATTTCCAGCGGCAGCTTCTGGGTGCGGATACACAACGCTCAAGGTACAAATGAAAACTATACGATCACAGCAATAATTCTTATGATATATGAATTTGATTTATTTTGATTTTAAGGTTAGTTTTGTCCGGCACCCGAAGTTAGAAAGTTAGAGTTTTAAAAGTAAAACTCGTAATTTTCAGCTTCTTAACAATGGAGAATTTTCAGCTATTTAACAATACCTAGTTTCAGACTCAAACACGAGCTCAATGGAATGCTCATTCAGCTACTGTTAACACAGGACTTAGAAGAGAAGGGCTAGCTCATAGAGCTCTTTTCCTCCTGAAGCAGAAAGTGAGAAGTGATGACGTAGCCATGATGACACTGAGCGCGCAGATGCAATTCACAGTTTGGAAATTAGCGTTTTTGAATCAGCGTTTAAAATGAGCTGTGTATGAAAGATAGCTATAATTTGGAAGAGGCAATGTTACTGCTTTATACATTTTTGACTGAACCCTTAAAAAATTTAATAATGCGTACTCAATTTTAAAATAATAGATAAAATGTGCTTATCTTTTAACATAAAGTTCCGCGGTTTTTTTAAATTTTATTTGAAGGTTTTTTTTATTTAATGCATGTTTATTTCTAATCATTTCTTTATTTGCATGTTAACTGAGAGAATTTTTATGCTGCTTCTAAGATAACTATAATAGCAGCTATTTAAATTTACTCAAAAATTAACTTACATTGACATAGACATATATGACATATATGACAACATTTCTGCTAACCTAAGGTTTGATTTTTGCCTAATTGTAAATTTATATTGTTATAATTCTCTTCCGATTCAATAATAATAGATTTTTTTAAATAATTTTGTAATTTATACTTATATCTATATTACATTAAATAAATGATGTAAGATTGTTTACCTTAATTTTGACAAAATAACTTTACTCAGAGTACCTAAAACAGTTATTTAATTTTTCAAAAGTGTGAGTAAAGGAAGCAGGTTTTTTATGCCAATTACTTTGATGTTTTATACTATTATTTTTTATCTAGAATGCTAATCTAGCACAAAATCGAATCAATAATTAGTTACAAAGGGTACAATAAGAATAACTTAAAAATGCTTAACAAAATTAGTTTGTTAAATACTGTTATTCTTGTTGGTACTATTTTGGTACTATGCATAATACCGAAGATATTATCGATTAATCATAGAACAGATGCTTTTTGATTCCTGTGGGGTGAGTATACCTTTTGCAGTACTGAAAATAATGTTTTTTCTGTAGCGAATTTTTGTCTCTCGTTTCCTTGACCATTAAATAATTCGGTTTTTAGTTTGGACACAATTTGATTTCTTCTCAATCTATTTTTAAAACCTCTTTAATAATATCAAAATTTAAAACAGTTCATTTCGAAAACAAATCCTTTCTCAAACGTGGTTTTCAGTAATTGAGGCCGAGCGCGAAATGAGACCTCTGATTAAAACAACTTCACATGTGAAAAGAACCCAGAACTTGGTCCAGTTTAGAGTCATAGCAGAGTTTAATCTATATCATTCGTCGAAACTGAGACGCATATTTTTTCTACAGAATACACATATTCGCCTCTTTATTCTTTAGAGTAGAACATCACTTTAATTTTTGGACTGCACTAAATTTAGCGCATCATTTCTTTAATTTGCTAATACTAGGTAGATTATTCCAATTTTTTTTCTTCCAAAAATCATAGCTTAAGATGACAGAGCTCTTAGACAATGCAACGTGAAATATCTTCACTAGTCCCCTGATTTTTTTCTTTTTCAGTAAGATTAATCGCTTCTTATAAAAATAGGCTTTAGACATTTTTTCCAAATTCTTCGATTTGTCTTCCTCCCTCCCCCCAAATAAAATTCGCTATTGAGATTAATTCTGATACCAATTTATGTCTAAGTATCCACCTCTTTGTGCTGACAAACATTCTAAATTTTTCTTTCTCTATTTTCAATACGTTATACAATTTTCTAAGGTATTCTTTGTTCTTCGAATATCATGCATTCTTGTTATCTTAAACTAGGGCATCAGGATATCTACATTTCATTTGTGAGTTTATCAAATCAGTAAATTTGACTTAGGTCATCATGAATTTCGATTTATTATTGTCATCATAATTTCGATTTATTATTGTCATCATGAATTTCGATTTATTATTGTTCTCATCAATTCGATTTATCGATTTATCAAATTAATATAAATATTATCCGAAAGAAATACTTCGGCACAGCATTCAGTTCACAGTTCTTTTTGACTATCCAACAAGCAATTTTTATATCATCTCAAACACTGCATAGAAATGTCGCTGCAGATTTTCCCTCTTCACATTAATAGAATCGTGTCTTTGACATTTGTGTATCCATTCTCCGACCTAAAACAGAAATGGGATAAAATTAAAAAGACAGATTTGAAATTCTACAAATGAATAAATACAAATACTTTAATTTCAAAGGCCATATATCAATTAAATATCAAACTTAATAAACAAAGAAAAATACTTTAAGAAAAGACATGTTTGTGCAAATCTCAAAACAAAAAATTTGTTCTCAAAAACCCCTCTGTCACTTTTTTCAGTACTGGTAGCAATATTTTTAGATTTAGAACCATACCACAGATTTGCCACCCATCAGTTAATTGATGACTGAAGCAGTCATTGAGAAAGCTAGCATCTGCTACACACTACTGGCAATGCATTCAGAGATTTGAGATTAAAGACATGTTGCTCTGATATATTTTATCTTCCTTCTACAGCAAACTGAAAAATTTAAGCTTGAATTATATTAGTTTAGTTATGTACCTTTCCGCACATGCTTAAGGCTTACCCAAGTTCCAAATTAAATTCCCACATATATTTAGGCTTATCTAGTGCCAGCACAGTCTTTGTGGGTCCTAAATTCTGCTGCCAAGCACCTCCCTAAATTCTAAAAAAATTTGCTGCCCCTAAATTCTATGCATTTTGTCATCGCTTAATTTTGTTGCTCAGTGCTTTTCTGAATTCTGAAAATTTTGCCTTTCCTAAATTCTGCCACCCAGTGCTGCATCAGCTTGTGTGCTAATCCCGGGGTTGTCTGGAAAACAAATAGTTTTTCCCAAATCACACAACACTAAACATAATTTTTTGGCCTATCAATATCATTTACAAAATCTAATTTTTGCCTATGAGAAGAAATTTCTGTTAAATTTCTCCTCAACACTTTACAGCACAACAGCTGATGTCTGTAATCCTCACCAATTATAATGTTAATATTTTGTTTTTCTTAGTTAGTTAGCTACCCATCATTCTAATAAATAGAAAGTTACGAAAATAAAGATTAAAATAAGTACTTATATAAATCTAGTAAATAAACACTGTTTACATAGAGATCTTAAACAGATACAAAAAGCAGTGCAACTCAGAATGTAAATTAAAGCAAGACAATACCTAAAAGACTTGCAGATCTTTCTTTTGACTATATTTTTACTATCTGTCAAGTGAAAAGTTCCAAACTGTGCAAGTACACCAACAACAAGTATGAGCTTTATTTTTGGAAAGAATCGACAAGTATATTTTAATTAAAATAAAAAGCAGAGTAATAGAAAAGTATTTTCATGCTTCTTGCAACAAATGTATAAATTTTGCTTGTTACATAAGGATGCATGCGTGTGTATATGCACTAAAAGAGAGATAAGATATACAAAAACCTCTTGATATTTGTATTTCTTTTTCTTGGATGATCTTAATTGTTAAATAATCACTAAATATTTAAATTTTATTTAAATAAATTTATAATTATAGAATAAAAAAAATGCAAGTTTTCATACTAGTTACTTTTGTAGCATCATGCTATAAAAGTTCTGTTTCAGTAAATGTGCATTTTCAGTTAAAATAGATTATACAAGGATACTGAAAATAACAAACTTATATTTATATTGCTAGAATATTAAGTAATAACATTTTTTAGTTAAAAAAAAATAACTATTTAGTTTTTACTTTTGCATACCAAAGATAAATTATTGATAATTCTTTTCCAATTACATTTCTGACCATGAAGACATAATGCACAATTTTAATAACCAAAATTACATTTGCAGCATTACTTTCCAAATATGTCACAAGAATTAATTTAATAAAGTGAAATTTACTATAAATTTTAAAATACAAATAATTTATTTTGGGGAAATAAGCTTGGCTTTGAGCCTTGAAGCCAAACAATAAATTTTCATTAACTGCATTTGTAAATGTTTAGCACTTTTCGCTGACCCTTTGTTTTATTCAAAAATGAGAGATTTAAAAATTACCAGGTAAATACAGAAATATAAATTCACACATGTGTAAGAATGCACATGGAAAAGTTTTTCATCAACTAAAATATGTTGAACACTAAATTCAACCAGATTTCAGCAAATTTCTATACTTTTGTACTAACATCAAAGCATTAAAATTTATATAACAACATTAATGTGACATATGACAAAAATGTAAAAGCTACAGATCTATACCTCACGGCGCAAGGTATGAATTTTGGTAGGCAGACACATACCAGTCCTTACTTGTCAAACCTCGCATTTGTTCATTCTGTTCTCGTAAGAACTGATTGGTTGCTGTAAGATCAACAACTTGTTTTTTTAGTTCTTCAATTTTATGCAACAACCTGGCATTTTCTTCTTGTAATAAGCGGTAATGTTGTGGGAAAAGCTGATGTGGTTCAGGCATGGCATTTCCCCCACCAAAGGGAGAAAAGTTGTTTTCATATGCCTGTCGTTTCGGTTGTGGTTCACACATACCAAAACCATCAAATTGACGATCATAATTTTCAAACTGCCCTCTTCGGGTATTTATATTATTATTTTCCATGTGATACTGTCCTGCTGTGATATGTCTGAATTTGCAACGACCTCCTCGCTTACATTCTCCTTTTAGGAAATCTTTACAAACTGGAATGCTAGAGATCAACTGCCCTCCTCCTTTCTGTGATACACTCTCCATAATGTGTTCTGCAATATAGCCACTCGAACGATAGATTTCTTCTTCTTGTTTGGTGCAGTGGATAAATCTGCAATTGAGTCTTCGGCATTCTTTATTTTGGAAATCATGACAGAAAATCAGATCTTTCTTACCCAAAGCCTTGGCTTCATCGCCTTCAGGATGTCGAAATTTACAACTGTTGCCTCTGTTGCAAACATTACGCAAATAATCACGGCAAATGCTATCTTTCATATCCCCATTCATACTTGAGTAGCCAGAATAATTTGAATCTTCGTGCATCAGACTGTCTGTCGACATCAACAACTTTATTTCAACAAATTATGAGGCAATTCCTTTCAGAGAAAATACCGTTAGCAATTAATTCCTGTAAGAAAAATTCACAAATATTGAGTAAATTATTTCTATACAGAAAACATTTGTAAAGCAATATTTTTTTAAATCATGTAATTGAGTAAATACATAACACGTAACATCAGATAAGTGTTTTAAACATAACATTCCAAACATTAACTCGTATCTGATGTCATATATGTTTATAAATTATGTCAAATAAATATATTTTTTTAAATAAAGGTAAAAAGGATTAATATGTTTGTATTTTTTTACATATAGCTTTCAGTTTCATTAATCTGTCATATGCAATGTAATGTTACTTTACTTCATCAACACAGCAACTTGGCGCTATTTTCCTGTTTAAGCCCTACCAGTGAATCTAAATTTACGCACAGGTCCAGAATTTGTCCCCAATGAGCTGTTTTTGTAATAAAGGACAACAGCAATGAAATCAACTTTGCCGCTAAAGCATTCTATTGAACATTTTCAGCTGCTAGGTTGAAAGAGGCATGGAAAAGGCAATGCACATGCTATTCGTTTGGTTAACGCAGAGCTGTCTTCTTCAGAATTCTCAAAAATTTCGTAACACTTCAATAAAGATCTATCGTTACAAAACTGTTACAAACACATTGATGTATATCTTTTGAAAATGACAAAAAACTATGATACATATCCAAATATAATAAACTAGTACAATACGATATAATTCACCAAATAAATGCAGAAAAATTCACAAATATTGAGTAAATTTATTTCTATACAGAAAACATTTGTAAAGCAATATTTTTTTAAATCATGTAATTGAGTAACTGACCGCTAACCATGTTTCCATCAAATAATGATGGGCCGTAAACAAATGATCGGGATATCGCACAAAACACGCTGATTTTGGACGAATCTCGTACATGTTCAATAGCTGCATGTGAGTTCTGTAGGCCCCAAATTCGAACACTATGCTTGTTTACATGACCACTAACATGAAAAGTCGCTTCATCACTGAACACAATTCGTTGTGCAAAAGTGTTATTATTGTCAATAGCATCAATAATCTCTTTATCAAATTCTACGTATTTGTCATCAGAACAAATGTAACTTGTACAGCTTCATAACCAACCGATATCTCAAAACACGCCAAATTGTTGTTGTATGAGGTTGTAACTCATAACTGGCAGGATAAGTCAATTTTGAAGGACTACGTTAGAAAGCAGTATGAATTCATGTAACATTTTCATCGGGAACACGAGGGCGGCCAAGACTCTTTCCTTTACATACACATCCTGGACTCTTTCCTACATTACAAACTGTCAATACCATCTGCGAATGTTCTACCCATTCAAAGGATCACTTTGGTACCTCAACTTGAAATGTCTTTTCACTGTAATCACATCATCTGTGTTCGCAAACTCACGAACACAAAATGATTTCTGCTGCGGAGTAGCCATTTTAAACATGTTACGGTTACCACGCAAAACAGAAGACAATTGGCATCTAGCGCCTATTAATATAAACTAGACTATGTATTCGTTTCATCAATAGCTGAGACGAGGCGTAGTGATCAATAGTTTGGACAAAATAACACTTTGTAATACATACATTCTTTTTGAAACATTCTGTATATAACAGTACAATGCTGTTACCTGAGCAAAGTTATGTTACAGTAATTTAAGTTGTTATGCAGAATTTATGTTAACAATTACAATGTTAACATAATTTAGAGTGAAGATACAACATAATTTATAGTGAAGAATAAAGTTTGCACAAATATACAGTAACCCAGTCCACAAATGTACAGTAATACAACAAAAACCAAAGAACCTATAATTTTAAGACTGACTGACTGACTGACTGACGTTTGTCAATTTTACAGATAAACATGTCTGCTTGCTGTGAGCCAGTAGCCATGTAGTGTCGAAAAACATAATGTTGAAAGTCACTTTCAGACTATTTTAATATTACCTATTAACTTAAGAAGCAAGTAAAGGAGAATATAAAAGCTAAAAATCAAACTTGTCTGCCCAACAGACAGTTTTCACTAAGCCTGTGGGAAAATATAAAAGTATCACTATTGCTCCTTTCAAAATTTCTTAGATGCTCACAAAGAAGAAAAGGCTTTTCTAGGATAGTGAACTGTTAGAAAGAAGCATTTTTAACAGTGCCAGTTAATTCTTTGAGAATTTTCTGATAAATACGACATTATTATTAGCAATTTAAGACTTGCTGCTGTCAGATAACAAACACCTTCACATGAATGCATGCCATTCCAAATAACATTCAAACTCAGCTAAGGAATGACTTATACATATGTGACAGGTTCTCACTACAATTTGACATGTCTACAGATATATCAGACAGTGTTCAGTTAGCAGTTATTATAAGAATGGTAATTAGATTTATATATAGCATTATTTTAATATAGGTATTTTGACACAAAATCGCACTTTTTCTGAAATAACATGGCAATTTTTTTATATATTTCGATTCTGCGGCTCAAATTATGCCAAATTGCCATGTTTTGTAAAAATCGCACGAATAGATTTTAAAGAAATTAGCTCTCAAAATTTTAGCTTCTCAATGTTAATTGAATTTGGTATATATTTATTAATATCTCTTTTTTATTAAACGTTTTTAGTTCTTCCTTTCACACTTCGGAATTTAGGTTCATTCCAAATAAAATTCACCCATTTTTTTACGATTTATTTTTAAATAATTTTTGTTATTTTTTGAAAAAAAATTTGAATTATATACAATTTGTACCATCATATTAAAGTAGATATATTTTTAAGCATACCTGCAAAAAATTACAGATTTTTTATTCAAAATTTTTTAAGATATACATGAATTTACATATTGGAACGTTTTGAAATTTGGCATTTTTTTTTTTTTTAGCAATTATAGTGCCAAATGTGGTTATGGATTTTGTTAAAGTGAATTACTACAGCTATTTTTAATCTTAAATTTCAAATAAATTTTTACGGAAAATTACTTATATGGAATTTTTTCCCTCAATAATGCATAACAAATATTTATTAATACTATATGAAAAGCTATTTTTGTTAAAATTATACACGATATTGTTCAAATTTTTAACCTTTTTTTTTTTAATTTTTTCTTTCCACCTTTTTTTTTTTTAAGCATTTGTAAGAGTAAATTTTTACATTTGCCGTGTTATCGTCTGTTACTTTAATTTAACTTCATTTAAATCGAATTTTGTCTAAAAAAAAAAAAAAAAATGATGCACCTTTTATTTAAACTATGCAGTTCAAATTAGTAAATAGAAATTTTTAAAACCGTTACTTGAAAGAAACCATGCAACTTAAAAAATTAAAATGAAATTCAAAAAAGAAAAAAATATATATATTTAAAATAATAGCAATTATAATTAAACATATAATATAAAGAAAATTATTTCACAGTAGGAACGATGTGATTTTTTTTCCGCTCATGCACAATATAAAAAGGGAAAGGAAAATTTGGTTGCCATATATTAAGAAGTTCGCCAAGTTAATTATTCTTGGCGCAAACTGAAAAAAATCTGTCAAGATAAAATTTTACATTTTTCCATAAATTTCACACCAAATTTTACAAAATTTAATATTTAGGCATAATTTGAGTCATAGAATCCAAAATATGTAAATAAATCGGTATGCTATTTCAGAAAAAGTCCGATTTTTTGTCAAAATGCCCATGTTAGGACAGTGCTATTTATAAATACAATATATATCCTATGTTGCACTTTCGAGACATGAAAAAATGCAATTTGAATTTCGTCAATCGGCCCAGTAGAACGGGAGATATAGAACTGTCCCATTTTTGTTTTTGCACAGTGTACAGTCATACATGTATTATGTGTTCATATATTCATATGTATGTGTGTGTGTATGCAGACATATATGCCCACACATACATACATATGTACATTTCTGAATCATGTCCCAATAACAGAAGAGTACCCAATATTTTATAAACATTCGAAAAAAAAAATATTTCAAATTGTATTCAATAGAGGAAAGGCCTTGTTGCCTTATTAAGAAGTAGGAACGAAATTCAAATAATAACCCATCAAATACATATTTGGCAATGAACAGAAAACTATTCCTCCAAAATGTTAATTCCCACTCAAGATGACAGCTGCAAAAAACTGACAGAAATATCAGACAAGTAAAATTAAAGACTTTTGCCAATTTGGGCCCAAATTAAGGACTTTTAAGGACCAAAAATCATTTCCAAAAAACCTACAGACTTTTAAGGACTGTACAAACCCAGATTATTGTTGACAGAAACAAATTTCTATTTTTGAAAATAGCATCATAAAGACAACATGGTTTTTTGGTTCAACATACGAGTACTTGTACGTACTTGTGCGAATCACTGTAGTCAACAATGAATGTCATAAAATCAAAGTATAAAAAATTACAGGTGAACATCTTGATGATTACTTATGAGCAGGCATTCATCGTACTCTCCTAATTATGAAGCAATGGGCAATAAATTACAATGCCAAATATCATATCAATTTAGATACTAAGAGTTATAAGAAGAATACCTGTCACAAACACTTTACAAAAGTTTTTGTGTTTTAACAGTACAAAAGATTTTTTTTGAAGTTCAAAAATGAAATTTGATTTTACTTAATATTAGATCACATATAATTTTACATACAGTTAGATTTTTATTACAAATGCCATATTACCATACTTAGAAAAGAAAATTCAGGTTATTTTATGAAAAATTTAATGTTAAAAAAGATGATTTTAAATTATACAGCACTGCATTACAAACTACAGTTAGTAAGAAAAGAATAAAAAGAAAATTAATCCTAATCAACATTATGTTCAAAATATACATTTAGAATATATAAAACCATATTGAATACAAAAACTGCAGCAGATCTATTGCAAAGATGCAGGTAAAGCAAAGGTGAATTAATATAATTACTCATTGTGATCCAAAAGTTACTTGATTTTGACCAGAAATAAGTGCATCCTAGAAAAACATAATTCAGGTTTTTATAGCCTTTTTTCCTAACTTTGT